GTGGGGCTTGAACTCTGGGCCTGGGCGCTGTCCCTCAGCTCTTCAGCTCAAGGCGAGCGCTCTACCACTTGAGCCACAGCGCCACTTCCGGTTTTCTGAGTGGTTTATTGGAGCTAAGAGTCTGGTGGACTTTCCTGCCTGGGTGGGCTGTGAACCGCGATCCTCAGATCTCAGCCTCCTGAGTAGCTGGGATGACAGGCGTGAGCCACCAGCGCCCGGCCCATTTGTCACTTTCATTATATATACATGGGACGTTTCAGCAGAAGATGAATGAGCAGCTGGGAGAGGGTGGTCACAGGAAGGTACCGAGTAAAGTTGCCCCTTTTAATCTCCCTAACTTGAGTTTAAGACCTGGTGATTTAATGATTTTTCTTTACCAAACTTCTAGGTTCTTCCCGCAAAGAGATCACAAAACACTGGGAATGGCTGGAAACCAACTTGCTTCAGACACTGTCCATCTTTGACAGCGAAGAGGATATTACCACATTCGTTAAGGGCAAGATCCATGTAAGGCTGCGCCCGTTACCAACCCTCCTCCCCACCGACCGCATTGTGCACGCCGTGGCCTCTGCGTCTGTGGGTGCAAGCAACCACGAGGGAAAACATTTCGGGGAAAATGGATATCTCTCCTGAACTGTATATAGACTTTCCTCTTGTCGCCATTCTCCAAACAATGCATATAATAATGATTGCCACACATGGATACCAGAAGTATCCCAGAGATGACTGAGGTTTGCAGGAAGACAGGCTTAGGTTATCTGCAGAACGTGTTGTAGTAAGGACTCGAGCATGGGAGATTGTGGTATTGGAGGGAGGAGGAGGGCGGCTCCTGGAACCAATGGAATTTGCAGGCAAATTCCAAGTGCTGCCTGTCTTCCCTTATTTCCTCCCCCACAGCACAGTGAAGATTTTATTCCCATTTCACAGAGATAGAAACTAAAGTGTCTGCTCGCATTCTGCTAAGATAAAGGGGCGGTTGAGTCTACTGCCCACTGCTGGAGGTTGAATTTTGAATGTTTCGCAAAGGCCATGGGTTGAAGGCTAATACACCCCATTTTCTTTCTCCGTTCATCGGTTCAGGGTCGTGTGGGCTGACTCCATAGCTTAGCTGTTGTGAATAGTGCCGCCATAGACTGTTGTTCTTTGTTTTTGTCAGTCATGGGACTTGAACTCAGAGCCTGGGTGCTGTTCCTGAGCTTTTTGACTCAAGGCTAGCACTCTACCTTTGAGCCACAGCTCCACTTCCAGTTTTTGAGTGGTTCATTGGAGATAAGAGTCCCATGGAAACTTTTCTGCCCAGGCTGGATTCAAATCAGATCTCAGCCTCGTAAGTGGCTAGGATTATAGGCATGAGCTACTGGCACCCAGCATACCTTAGACTATTGTATCCTGACTATATCCCTTTAACTATATGCCCAAGAGTTGGATTATTGTAGTGCTATTCTTTTTTTTTTTTTTGTCGGTCGTGGGGCTTGAACTCTGGGCCTGGGCGCTATCCCTCAGCTCTTCAGCTCAAGGCTAGCGCTCTACCACTTGAGCTACAGCGCCACTTCCGGTTTTTTTCTTTTTGCTTATGTGGTGCTGGGGAATCGAACCCAGGGCCTCATGCATGCAAGGCAAGTGCTCTACCACTGAGCCACCTTCCCAGCCCCAAGTTTAGCTTTTTTATCTCTTGGTATATTCTGGTTATTAGTCCATTGTCAGATGTATAGCAGGTGAGGTTTTCTCTGTAGGCTGTCTCCATTCTGATTCCTTTGCTATACAGAAGCTTTTAGTCCTGTCAGTCCTTATGGGCTGTGCTATTGGAATCCTGTTTGTGAAGTTGCCTGTGCCTATATCGTCCAGTGTTTTTCCTATGTTTTATAGTGTTGACTATCGCTTTCATTATGTAGCAGTATGTTTGTAGAGCCCCTTCTTGGTGTAGCCAGCCACTCAATCGAGTCCAATTGAAGCTTAGAGTTCATTCCTTGTCAAGTGCCTTCAAACAATATGCAGCTGTGTAACTGTGTTTGTAGTGCTTGGCTAACGGAGGAAGACGGTGGAAATAATGAGGTATTCTGAGGTTTGTTTTTATAATAAGACCCATTCTACTTAAAAGGCACATAGCTTTTACCCAGTGATTCCACCCTCGTGGTTTTCCTGTGGTGCATTTCTGTGTGCAGAATGGCCTGCGCTCATGGCCTGTAGCACTTAGCGCAGAGGCAGTGCAAACAGTGCGTCCTGGTCCTGAGCCGAGAGATGACGCTGCCCGGTTACTACAGGAGAGCAGCTACGCCCGCACCGCCCGTACGCTTACTCTGCTAAGCGCTTACTTCCAGGGGACTTAGTCAGAGGTGGTAAACTTTCCAGAGTGCTTTACAGCCATCAAAATAATGATGATGGACATCATGACTATCTCTAGACTCGTTTCCTCTCTGGGAGATGATTAATGTTCTCCTGAGCATTAATGCGAACATATGTGTGTGTTTTCTTTCTGTTAGGTTATTAAGTTAGATTCCTGTGAAGAGTGTTGCTGGGTTTGGGCAGGGCCTTGTATAACTTTTTAGACCTGGGCAGACAGGACCAATATTCTCAGCTCGTCTGAGAATATTGGGGTTCAAAATGGGATCTGTGTTGTCTTCTAGTTTCAGGAAAAACAGGCAAAATGAGAGGGAAGACTTACTCTTCTAGCTAGCAAACGGGGTAGTGGTGATGATGATGATGATGATGGCATTATTAAATGCCTCCTGTGTGAGAGGCCTCAAACAGACATCAGCAGAACAGTAAAGTTCTAAATGACTCCTGAGCCACAGAGGAAATGGTGTATTCGTCCACCTTTCACTGTTGTAACAAATACCAGAGATAATCAGCTTAGGAAGAGATAAGGTTTATTTTGCTAGCCCGTGAACAGTCGTCCTTGTTGCTGTGGGCCTGTGTCAGCTCCTGGGTGAGAGTACACATCAGAACACGTGCTCACCTCGTGGCCAGGTCAGAGAGGAAGGGGCTGGACTCCCAGTTTCCTCCCTGGGAGGCTTGTCCCTAGTGGCTGGAAGACAGCACCCTCCGGCTCATCCCACAGTGCCGTGCTGAGGACACACGTCGTGCTGGCATGACTTAACACATGGTCCTTTGGGGACACTTGAGATCCAAACTATAGCCAGTGGGAATTAGGAAATCAAGACCCAAGTGAACACTGGAGTTCTAGTTGTTGTTTTTATTGTTGTTGTTGTTAGTGAGTCTTGATCTCTGGGACTGGGTGCTGTCCCTGAGCTCTTCAGTTCAAGGCGAGTGCTCTACCACTTGAGCCACAGCGCCACTTCTGGTTTTCTGGTGGTAAGTTGAAGAGTCTCAGGGATGTTCCTGCCCAGGCTGGCTTTGAAATGAGATCCTCAGATCTCAGCCTCCTGAGTAGCTCAGATGACAGGTGTGAGCCACCTGCCCACCCGCGCCCAGTGCCCTGCAAAGATTGCATGAAAAAGAATGAAATGACCAGCAAAGTGCCCAACCCAGGAAGTTAGAAAAAGAATTCTAGAGAAACCAGGAAATTAGACAGAAGGAAATGGCAAAAGGCCAAGGTTAATTCCTTAGAAAACAAAGGAACACTGGAGAAGAGTGACAGACTAAAAAAGAGAAGCAAACCTGTGGCCAAAGTGACCCCAGACAGAAGGCAGAGAGAGACCTGCCAGGAACCACCTGCCCATGAGACGTGAAGAGCGCTCACATAAACGCAGGGCTCCTGCCTCCTCCTGCCTGCCTTCCTTCCCTCCCTCTCTCCCTTCTTCCCTCCCTCCTTCCCTATTTCTCTCTTTTTCTTCCTTTCTTCCTTTCTTTCTTTCTTTTTTCCTTCCTTCCTGCCTTCTTTTTCTTTCTTCTCTATTTTCTTTCTTTCTCTATTGAAGAAGGTTCTGGGATCTGAACTCAGAGCTTCATGCTTTTAATCAGCTTTATTTACTACAGCTGGTGCTTTTCCACTTGAGCCATGCCCCTGTCTAGCATTTTGCTAGTTAACTGGAGATAGAATCTCTCAGACTTTTCTGCCTAGGCTGGCTTCAAACTACAATCCTCATATCTCAGTCTACTAAATAGAATAAAGTGTTGTGTTTTTTTTGTTTGTTTTTAATGTGAGAGAGAATGCCACAGCAGCTTCTAAGCTGTGTAGTTCTGGTGGCAACTTTTTTAGACCGATGTGTGATATACTAGTTCCAGTTACTAGTGCCATACACATTGGTGGCTTCAAACAATACAAATGAGGCTGGAGGTTTAGCTTGATGAGAGTGTTTGCCTAGCATGTGCACGGCCCTGGGTTTGATCCCTATCACCTCCTAGAAATGACTCTTACAGTGTCTGAGGTCAGAAGTCTAGTTGGACTGAAATCAGGGTGTTGGTTGGGTTGTATTACTTCTAGAAGCTCTAAGGAGAATCTGTTTCCTTTCCCAGCTTCTTTTTTGTTGTTGTTGGTCATGGGACTCGAACTCAGGGCCTGGGTGCTGTCCTTGAGTTCTGCTCAAAGCTAGCGCTCTGCCACTTTGAGCCACAGCTCCACTTCCAGCTTTTGAGTGGCTAATTGGAGATAAGAGTTTCACAGGGATTTTTCTGCCCTGACTGGCTTCAAACCAAGATCCTTAGATCTCAGCCTTCTGAGTAGCTAGGATTACAGATGTTGGCCACGGGCACATGGCTTTTCCTAGCTTCTTAAAGGCCACTTTTAATACTTGGTTCTTAGCTCTCCTTCCTCTTCAGTGCCAACAGCAAACCCTCTTCAAGTCTGCCATTCTCTCCTGCTCCCCTCCTGTTGTCTCGTGTGACTCTGTCCCTCTTCCCTCCCTGTTTATAAAGACACTTGTGGTCTCATGAGGGTCACCAGATGATCCGGAGTCCTCTAACCTCACAGTCCAATCTTGTAACCACATCGGCAAAGCCCCCTCCCCTTTGCTGTGTAAGGTTGCCTGTTGCTAGGTTTTGAGCATTGGGGAGGCAGTATCCTTGGCCTTCCACACAACATAACAGCCTTAAATTGAGGCTGGGAAAGAAACCAAAACCGTGAATATGCACTCTGCTTATTTAAAATCAGCCATTTCAAATCGCTTTCCGATCTTTAGAGCTGCCTTCTGTCTTCAACCCTGTGGGCTGACTAAGCCCATCCCTGAGACCAGTGCTCCCAAGAAGCAGCTGCGTGGTCTGAAGGCTGAGGCCGGGGAGTCTTGGGAGGATTGTGGGGGGGCTGTAGTCAGCTCCTCTGCTCCCCGCTGCTCACCAGTCTCCCAGGTGCGGTGGAGGGAGGGGGGAGGGGGGGCCAGGGCACTGCCACTGCCCCTGGACGCCCAGAAAAGTGGCCTGCAGGCAGTACTGCTCGCGACAGCCGCCTGCCTCGGGCCTGGTTTTTAGCAAGGGCTGGCGCAGTGCCCGCTGCCCGGGGCCGCCGTGGCTTTCTGCAGGCAGGGCACTGTGGGCCAGCTTTCCATTGTCTAATGAGGTGTCTATCTTGGCTCACCATTGTGGAGGTCCAGTCTAAGGGTGGATAAAGAAAAAGAGATTTATTCAGCCCATAGTTCTGGAGGTCTGAGGCGAGGGCATCCCTGCTACTCAGTGAACCCATGAGGATCTCACGAGGGGAGACAGCACGCGAGCGCGCGTCTCTCTCATAAAAGCATGAATGCCGTCGTGGGGTTGGGCGTGGCTCTGTGATGGTGAAGCCTGTGAGTGCCCCATGGAGATACCAGCCACAGGAGTGGGGGTCCAGGGTGGCAACAGGAGGCGGGACTCCCGGTGGGGGCGGGGCGGGGGGGGTCAGGGCAGAGCATCTTCCAAGATACAGTGAGAAAAAGCAGAGAACAGAACAGGGCCACGGAGAACTCCATTTGGGCAGAGAAAGGAGGAAATAGCAGTTTTCCCATAGACGTGCACAAGTGTGCGTGCATCTGGAGGGAAATTAGGAAAGAAAACACAGAAGGCAGGAGGGAGGGCCCCTCTCCACCAAATACATAGTCCTGCTACACGTGAATATTCTTCATCCCACAAAGCTTGAGACCAGTGTTTAGGACTGGGGATTACCATAGGCTTTTGAATTATTTGCACATTCATGACTTATCTTTTTTTTTTTCTTTTTGTCGGTCGTGGGGCTTGAACTCTGGGCCTGGGTGCTCTCCCTCAGCACTTCAGCTCAAGGCAAGCGCTCTACCACTTGAGCTACAGCGCTACTTCCAGTTTTCTGGAGATAAGAGTTTCACAGACTTTCCTGCCCAGGCTGGCTTTGAACCGCAATCCTCAGATCTCAGCCTCCTGAGTAGCTAGGATTACAGGCATGAGCCACCAGCGCCCAGCTTGACTTATCTTGAGAACGAGACAAAATCCTATGCACAGAATTCATTCATGTTTTATAAATACTGAGGTCACTTTACATTTTGACTGTAGTGCTGGAAAAGTGTCAGATTCAGGAGAAATTGAATTTGTGCATGTTCAAATTAGTGTGCTTAGTATGTATTTGCATTTTTTTTACCATTTTTATGGGTTATATGTTAGAACCATTTTACCTGAAACTAAGAGGTCTATTTGAAAAAGTAGCTGCCCAGAGCCAGTGGTGCCAGTACCCGCAGGCATTTCAGGAACGTGCTCCGTCACAGGCAGCTCTGTCACTCACGTGTCTGCTCCGAAAACCAGCAGAGCCAGAGCGGGGCACTTCCTTTCCCAGAACCACTGCCCAGAGTTCCCCAGGCCTCTGCTCCTGCCTTTGGCCCACCCAGGAACAAGGCCTGCGGAGCCTAGATCTCAATGTTCCCTCCACCCCCGCCCCCCAGGGCATCATTGCAGAAGAGAACAAGAACCTGCAACCCCAGGGAGATGAGGACCCTGGAAAGTTCAAGGAGGCAGAGCTGAAGATGAGGAAGCAGTTCGGGATGCCGGAGGGCGAGAAGCTGGTCAACTACTACTCCTGCAGCTACTGGAAGGGCCGCGTGCCCAGGCAGGGCTGGCTCTACCTGACCGTCAACCACCTGTGCTTCTACTCCTTCCTGCTGGGAAAAGAAGGTGAGCCCCCTCCACCCCCAGCTCCTCCCTTGCTCCTTCCCTTGACCCTGCCGCTAGAGCAGCATTGCCTCTCCACACTGCCAGCCTTCCTGGTGGGTCCCCAGATACCACATCCACACTAGCTCCCAGAGGGGTCTCCCCAAAGCCCATGTGCAACCTGCACAGCCCAGGAACGCCCAGGCATCTGTCTGCTCTTGAGGGACTCTTCTCATGCCCACTAATGAGATTCAAACATAGTAGCCCTCTTTCCTGGCCTCCTGGTTTCTGTCAGAGTTGGAGTTTCCCAGGGCACACATCTTTGTCAAGTGCTTCTAGTGATGCAGTGCTCCTGACCTCCTGCTCCCTGCAGGCTGCACTAGCACCTGCTCCCCCCACTGCAGGACCTCCCTTGGAAAGCACTGCGGCCTCTAGTGCTTCCGGTAGTCAGACATCATCCCCCTTCCCCAAGCCGGGCTCCCTCCGCGCTCCTGTGCAGACTCCCCTCACCCTCCTGCTCAGATGTTGTCACTCAGCCCCACCTGGTTCACCCCTGAGCATTTGTTCCCTACACCCTCAGCCATTTTGGGGGGCACACAGATCCAGCACAGTTGGTCAGGGCGGCGGCTGAGACACCAATCGCCTAGTCCCTCCTTATGAAGCATGACCCAGCATAATCAGTCAGTCACCAGGCAGGTCCATAAATGGCGTCCCAGAGGCGGGCACTCCAGGTAGGTCCTGGGTGTGGTGGAAGTCAGGACCCTCGTGCTGCCAGACTGATGGGTGGTGCATCTTTCCCCACCGGCCTCCAGTGAGCCTCGTGGTTCAGTGGGTGGACGTCATTCGGCTAGAGAAGAATGCCACTCTGCTCTTCCCCGAGAGCATCCGTGTGGACACCCGGGACCGGGAGCTCTTCTTCTCCATGTTCCTCAACATCGGCGAGACCTTCAAGCTCATGGAACAGCTGGCCAACCTGGCCATGCGGCAGCTGCTAGACAGCGAGGGCTTCCTGGAGGACAAGGCCCTGCCCAGGCCCATCCGGCCACACAGGAACATCTCAGCTCTGAAGCGGTAGGTTGTCCTCCTGGCAGGGGACTAGAGCCAGATCCCCCGACCCTGGCTGACACGGGTAGGCCTGGAGAATGTCTCATGTCCAGCCTTCGTAGGCCCCCACCTGAGGCTGCGGCCAGGAAACAGAGCATCGCAGTAGTGCATTGGAGGCACTAGTGATCGCTGATGTGGAGGAAGGCCCCCCTCACGGCCCTAGGGTGGAAGATACTCTGACCGTCCCTGCCGCACAAGTGGTAGAGGTCCTTCTGGGTGTGAGCTCTCCGTCAGAGCGCTCTGAGGTCTCCAGGTGCTGCATCTGGAAGGCTTCAGTGAATCTGGACACAGGGTGCACATCTCCATCGTACTGCGATGGACCTCTGGGGGCCCCGGCAGCCGCAAGCCACGACCTCAGGTCTGAAGCCAGCAGTGAGGAGGAGACAGGCCGTGTGCAAGCTGAGGTCATCGCCCCGCTGCTCGTGGGAGCGGTAGATGGAATTGCACGGTGGTGGCCAGTCCCTCCTGGTCCCTGCTGGTCACTGCTGTTTAAGCCCCAAGATGGTAGCCTCACGCCCACAAGTATAGCCAAGACCTCAGAAGTGCACTGGGCCCCTCAGCCAGGGCACACAAGACACGCTGTATTCATACTGTGTGCAGAGACCTTCCAGCCAGGCTGTTGCCTGGATTGCACCCACAGACCTTCCTCTGGGCCCACAGTGCACCTCTGGTCCAGAAGGCTGTCACTTTCCTGATGCAGTGACAATGGTCTTCAGAACCTTCCAGAAAAAAAAAAAAAATCAGGGCTGGACCATGGTGGTGCCCAGCACTGCCAGATGGGGGCATGGATTTTAGGCCCTGGTCAGGGCATTGGCAGCCCTAGGAGGCGGGAGTTTCTTTGGGAGAAGGGAAGCTGTGTTTGTATGGTAGAACCATCAAGGACGCAGTGGTCACAGGTCATCTCCCACAGACATGAGACATGCATAAGTATTTCGGTTAAGCAGTGGCCACTACTCATGCCTGCTGGATGTCAGGGTGGGGTTGGCAGCGTGGGAGCTGTGCACACTGGCTGCCCTTCAGTACCTGAGGGCAGATCACTGCTGATCCTCGTTTTGAATCGGTCAAGTTATGGACACGTTACATGCATCCACTTCACTGCCGGCCTTAGGAATAGCCCTCATTTTTCTTAGTCATTTAAAATTGCATCTTTTCTTGAACTGTAAAATCCCCAGATGCAGCTTGCTTGCTGGAAGTCTAAAACATGGGCTCCTAGAAGTATGTGGACCCCTGACTCCTGTCCACCTGGCTCCCACTGTTTCCTCAGAGACCTGGATGCCCGCGCCAAGAATGAGTGCTACAGAGCCACATTCCGGCTACCCCAAGATGAGCGGCTGGACGGCCACACGGGCTGCACCCTGTGGACGCCGTTCAACAAGCTGCACATCCCTGGGCAGATGTTCATCTCCAACAACTACATCTGCTTTGCCAGCAAGGAGGAGGACGCGTGCCACCTCATCATACCCCTGAGGGAGGTAAGCATCCCACTCCAGCCGAGGGGGCTCAGACAGCTCAGTGACCAGGCCCGTGCTCTGTGGCCCAGCTCTGCAGTTGGTCACCTTGCAGGCTGATCTAGGGGCATCTGCCCCTCCTGTCCCTCCCAGGCATCCATTCACTCAGCAGCTGAGTGAGCCTAGTGGGCCTTGGCTATCCCTTCCAGTCACGCTGTTCCGTGCTCGCCATGGAATTTGGGCCCTGCCATCTGCCCAGGTGGAGGCGGAGTCATCCTTGATTCCGCATCCTAACCATAGACATCCTGTCAGCCCTCTCTCCAGAGCTCGGCCTTCCTCCCCGGGCCTACCACCTAGGACAAAGCAGGCCACCCCAGGAATCCAAATCTCACCTGATCCCTTTACGACACATCTCCACAATCGTAAGCAAGATTCTGAATGTCAGCCAGAAGCCGGACGCAGGGGGCATATGCTTATAATTGTAGATACTCGAGAGTCTGAGGTCTGGAGGATTGCAGTTCACAGCCAACCCAGGCAGAAATGTCCACAAGACTCCTCTCCAATTAACCAGCAAGAAGGTGGACTAGAGACATGGCTCACGTGGTAGTGTGCCAGATAAGCAAGTGTGAGGCCCTGAGTTGAACTCCACTGCCACCAAAAAAGATAAAATAGAGCATCGTGTCACCCTACCTAGTTCCTCCAGCGTCTTCTTGTGGTTAAAAGAATCCCCAAGTGCCTCCCTGTAACCTGTGAGGCCTGTGGAGAGCCATGCTCACACTCACACATGCATCCTGCCCATGCACACACAGTCACACGGAGTACACACTCCATACTTACACTGTACACACACCTCCCCACACATGCACACACATACATACGGGCTACACATAGACCTGCTTTCACACATACACACCACACAAACCTGCTTCCATCCACATGCAAATACACATGTTACACACACCATACACATAGACTTCTATGTGCATGTGTACACACATACATTCACATGTGCATACCACGTCACACTGTATCTATCATATGGAGTTGCACACGTGTATTCACGAGTTCACATATACACACCACAGTAAGTGCTGTACCTGCTCACATTACCCCCATACACACACATCCCGCCCTGTGGAGTACGCTCCATCAGTCCCAGCTTCTACAAACTTCCTCTCTCCAGCCATTCTCACTCCCAGTGGTTCGTGCCTCTGTCCCCAGCTCTCCCCCAGCTCCTCAGCAGTTTCCTCAGCTGAACCAGGTGCGGCTCAATCACTGCCTCTCCCCAGGCACAGTCTAGTGACCTGTGTATCCATTGCCTGCACTCCTCTAGACCAGGCTCCTCAGAGCTGCCCACTTCAAACCTGTGCTGTGTCCCTCAACCTCTCCCACTCACTGACCGAGCTTTGGGACCAGCTGTGAGGGAATGCTCCTGAAACGAGCTCCTTACATGAGGGACTCGGGACAGGAGTCGCTGGTGGGCCTTGGATGAGCCAGCTGCACGTTGTACAGCCTCGCCTCAGCAAGGCCCTGCAAAGACCATCCAGCTCATCCCTAGCAACAGGTGAAAAGAGACTGAGATGCACCAGCGCCTCACCCTAGGCCGCACAGAAGAGGTAGCCCCAGGATGTGGATCTAGTGGAGCCACTCTGGACTGTCAGAGGACAGCCCTAGGCCCCTCACGGTCACAGGCACCCCCAGACGTACCTCCCAAGATGCAAAGGCACAAGAGACTGCTTTAACCTTCTCAGGTGACCATTGTTGAAAAAGCGGACAGCTCCAGCGTCCTGCCCAGCCCTCTGTCCATCAGCACCAAGAGCAAAATGACCTTCCTGTTTGCCAACCTGAAAGACCGTGACTTCTTAGTTCAGAGGATCTCCGACTTCCTCCAGAAAACACCGTCCAAGCAGCCGGGCAACAGCATCGGAGGGAGGAAATCCAGTGTTGTGGATCTTCCCCCAGAGGTGAGGGAGGGGAGGGGAGGAGGGAGGGCCCTGGGGAACAACTGGGGAGGGATGTGGGCCAAGCTCCTGCAGTCAGTTTCCTCCCTGCCACTGTTGGTGTGCTGAATCCAATGTGGAAGCTGGAAAGAGCTCCTGGGAGGGCAGGGTGAACTCTGAGCCCAGCCCCACGCTCCCACGCACACCGCCTCTTACTCACCCCTCCCCCACTCCCGTCCCACCCACCCCTTCCCACATCCTTCTCTTTTATTTATTTATTTTGGTGCCGGTCCTGGGGCTTGAACATAGGGCCTGGGCATTGTTTCAGAGCTCTTTTGCTCTTTACCACTTGAGCCGTAGCTCCGCTTCTGACTTTCTTTGGTGGTTAATTGGAGATAAGAGTTTCATGGACTTTCCTGCCCAGATGGGCTTCAAACTGCGATCCTTAGATCTCAGCCTCCTGAGTGGCCAGGATTACAGGCATGAGCCACCAGCACCAGGCCCTTCTCACTCTTTTCCAGCCCACTGCAAGGCCCATTCTCCATGAGAAACCATGGCTACACCATCCATAAAGTTCCTTGATCAACTTCTACACTGAGCAAGGGCCACCGTGTTGAGGCCTACCATTATTATAGAACAGACTTACCACTTAATATCTCCAAGTAATTGTATCGCTGTGCCTGGGTAACCTTGGGAATGACTTCTAGGAACCCCCTTTGATCCCCAAGTCCAGGACACTCAAGTCCCTCATATAAAGTGTCATAGTAGTATTTGTATATAACCTCTGCACATTCTCACACCCTCTGGTGCGTGCGCGCGCGCGCGCGTGTGTGTGTGTGTGTGTGTGTGTGTGTGTAGTGCGCTTTGAATTTAGGTCCTCACATTCTTGCTTACTTTTTTAACTCAAGGCTGGCACTCTACCACTTGAGCCATGCCTCCACTTTTGTTTTATTTTTTGATGGTTAATTAGAGATAAGAGTCTCATGGAACTTTCCTGCCCAGGCTGGCTTCTGACCTCACTCCTCAGATCTCAGCCTCCTGTGTAGCAGGGATTATAGGTGTGAGTCACCAGCGCATCAGGGACCCCTTGCACAGCACAAGTTGTTGGGTGCATTCCCTCCCCTGTTTTATTTTCTAGTCTCTCCCAGCTCCTCAGGAAGTGTCAGAACTGCCCACCAGCCCGTCCTCTCCCCTCGGCAGCCAGCCAAGCGTCAGTGCTCAGGAAGTGCCAACTGCTTCCCAGGGCCTGCTGAAAGTCTTCCAGAAGAACTCACCCATGGAGGACCTTGGAGCCAAGGGGGTAAGCCAGGGGCAGAGGCTTTCAGCTGCAAGAGCACAGAGCTGAGTCCTGGGAGGAAGGCTGGAGCCGCCTCTGGGTTTGTGCCCTCCTGGGTCGCACTGGCAGCATGAGGTGGACCTGGCACTCCTGCGGGGACAGCCACCCTGCCTGACCCGGGCAGCCCCTCAGGAGGGGCTGTGGACCTCTGAAGAGAAGAGCCTGCTGCTGGCGCCGAGCTCATCTTCCAACTGTAGTAGGGTGCGCAGGTGCAGCCTGGGCTTTGCCTGTGTCTTTTTGTTGGTGGTGGTGTTTGACGTTGTTGTTGTTGTTGTTTGGTCAGTCATGGGGCTTGAACTCTGGGCCTGGGCACTATTTCTCAGCTCTTCAGCTCAAGGCTAGCACTCTACCATTTGAGCCACAGCACCACTTCCAATTTTTTTTGAGTGGCTTATTGGAGCTAAGAGTCTCACAGGGCTGGCTTTGAACTGCGATCCTCAGATCGCAGCCTGCTGAGTAGCTAGGATTACCGGCGTGAGCCACTGGAGCCCCGCTTGCCCGTGTCTCGTAATTGCTTTGACATGCAAGCTTGCTGGCAGCGCTCCAGGTGATTTGCACAGGAGCCTCTCGCCTTGCACAGAGCCGGAGAGAGTTTTGTCAGCTGGCCTCAGCACTCAGGCAGTCTTCAGCCTCCCTGTGTCCATGTTTCCTTTTCCCCCAGGCCAAGGAGAAGATGAAAGAGGAATCATGGAACATCCACTTCTTCGAGTACGGGCGTGGCATGTGCATGTACCGCACGGCCAAAACGCGGGAGCTGGTCCTGAAGGGCATCCCTGAGAGTCTCCGGGGAGAGCTTTGGCTCCTCTTCTCTGGTGAGCATGGCCCATTATCCCAGCCTCGACTTTCACCCCAAGGCTTTTCACCCTGCTGAGCAGGGTGTGCAGCTGCCTAGTGCACTGTGTGGTTGGCATGCCCAAGGCCTGGATCTGATCCTTGACCAGACCTAAGAAACGTTCTCATGGACTCTTTCATCAGCCCCGAGCTTCCTCCTGAAGTCACCAGAAAGGGCAGGGTGTCAGCCCCTCCCCAGAGCAGGGCATGGGGACCCCAGTCCAAACAAGCAGGTATGAGGGAGGGCACTGTGGGTAGGAGGCCCTCATCTACCCGCAGCGGGAGGAGAGAAGCTCCACTTGATGCCTCCTTTCCTCAAGACAGGCTCTCAGTGTCACAGCTTAGCGCGTCTCCGCGTGTGACGGGCAAGTCTGCCACTGAACTCGGATGGAATGGCCGCTCCTAGGGAGCTTCTGCCTCACCCCCATCATAGAGCCAAGTGCACCTCTCCTCTGGGGGGCGTTCCTGTCTCCCGTCTCCCCTGTTCCTGCCTCCCGTCTCCCCTGTTCCTGCCTCCCCCGTGGTGGGAGGAAGAAGAGAGACAACGGCACTGTGTCTCCCTAGGGGCCTGGAACGAGATGGTGACCCATCCCGGCTACTACGCTGAGCTGGTGGAGAAGTCCACTGGGAAGTACAGCCTGGCCACGGAGGAGATTGAGCGTGACCTCCATCGCTCCATGCCCGAGCACCCTGCCTTCCAGAACGAGCTGGGCATCGCCGCCCTCCGGCGGGTTCTCACCGCCTATGCTTTCCGAAACCCCACCATCGGCTACTGCCAGGTAAAGTGGCCCAGCAGACACCCAGAAACTCCCGGAGCAGGGCCTGCAGCCTGGGCCTGTGTGGTGACCTCGCACAGCTGACCGCAGAAGACATCCATTACAAACTGCATTCATTCCTCCCGTCAGCCCTGGGCCATGTATTAAGTTAGCTCCTGTGTGCATCCAGCCTGAGTCTTAGCAGCAGTTGATTTTTACCAAGTTCAATGGCATTCACACTGCTGGACAGCCATCACACACTGTCAGCCATGGAAGTTCCAGCATCTTCCCTGAGCGAGAGGCTCCCCTTAAACAGTAACTCTCCATTCCCGCCCGCCAGCCCCTGGCAACCTCTGCCTAGGTACTTCTTAAAAGTGGAGTCGTGTAGTTTGTGTTATTTGTGTCTGGCTTTTCTCCTCACATGCTGTCTTCAAGACTCAGCCATGTTGTAAATTGTGTCAGACTTTCCTGAATGATATTTCACTCTAAGTACAGACCACCTTGTGTTTATCTGCTGACAGCACACTTGGTTTGGCTATTGTGAGTACTGACTGCTGCTATGAACCTGGATGTCCAGATCTCTCGGAGTCTGCTCGAGTTGGTGTGGGTGTGTGCCGGCAGCGAGAAGGAGGAGCGTGCCATTGTGTGCTCCCTCCAGCGTCCACCAGGATCCCCTGCCCCACGTCCCCACTCAGTCTGTTATGTTGGCTTTTTTTTTTCCCCACTTTTTGACATTTTGGTTTATTTTTCTTTTTTTAATTTTTTTTATTGTGAAAATACTGTACAGAGGAGTTACAATTACATGGGCAAGATAACGAGTTCATTTCTTTTTTTTTTTTTTTTGGTCAGTCGTGGGCTTGAACTCTGGGCTTTGGCGCTGTCCCTGCACTCTTCAGCTCAAGGCGAGCGCTCTACCACTTGAGCCACAGCGCCACTTTCGGTTTTCTAGTGGTTTATTGGAGATAAGAGTCTCACAGACTTCTCCTGCCTGGGCTGGCTTTGAACCACGATCCTCAGATCTCAGCCTCCTGAATAGCTAGGATTACAGGCGTGAGCCACCAGCGCCCGGCTTGAGTTCATTTCTTATCAAGCATTATTGCGTCCTCTTTGTTTCCCCTTCCCATCCCTTCCCATCCTCCCCCCACCATCCTTTCCACCACCCCCACCACCCCTACCCCGTTATGTTGTTTTTTACAGACATGCAGGTATTTTACAATGGTGCGGATCTGGCGGTAGTTTTGATCTGCAATTCTGGCAGCTTCTTCGGTCATTAAATGTAGTTGACATCTTCCCAGCCAGGTCAAATGGCTTTCTGTTGGCCTTGACTTGTATCTGGATTTCTAGGAAACCAGGTCCCACTCACATGTGTTACCAGGTCATGGGCGGGGGGTGGGGGGGGCACTGTGCCCACTGGAAATAGATTTTACAAGTGGCTTGCCACCTTGGAAGCTTCTTCCCATGAGCGGCTGAGGCCGCTCGCAGTTCCTCTGCAGCCTTGTGCAGCGCCTAGCCCCGCACCTCCCTTTCCAGCAGCTCTGTCACCGCTTCGTTGTCCTCCACCCCACGGAAGTGTTAGTCACTCACGCTAAGGGGAGGCGCTTCCCCAGCCTTCTGACCCAGGGTGAAGAGCTCTCCCACTGTTTCTGTCAGATGGATTACCTGTAATTTGTCTCTTGGTAAATTCCCACATTGGGCAGGAGTAGTTTGTCACTGCGGGATGCTGGGCCCTCCGGAAGGGCGGGCCGGCCTCTGCGTGGGGAGGAAAGAGCTTGACTGGGTGGACAGCAGTGCGACCCTTTCCCCTCGCCCCTCGCCGCGTCTGCAGGCCATGAACATCGTGACCTCGGTGCTCCTGCTGTACGGCAGTGAGGAGGAAGCCTTCTGGCTGCTGGTGGCCCTCTGCGAGCGCATGCTGCCCGACTACTACAACACCAGAGTGGTGGGTGAGTGTCCAGGCTGCTGCTGGCTCCCTGTGGGCTAGTGCCTCTCTCTAGCCAGCCTCCGTGCCAAGCACTTCCAGCCATCCTGCAGTTAGAAAGCTGAGAAACGATCACAGCCAGACAGCGGCCAGCCAGCCCAGGCCCCGCCCCACCCAGCCAGCGTCTGCCTCAGCCCACACTGCTGTTGGGTTTTGGTTTTTCTTTGCCAGTCCTGGGGCTTGCACTCTGGGCCTGGGCGCTGTCCCTGAGCTGCTTTTGCTCAAGGCCAGCACTCTACCACTTGAGCCACAGCGCCACTTCTGGCCTCTTCTGTGTATGTGGTACTGAAGAATGGAACCCAGGGCTTCATGCACGCTAGGCAAGCACGCTACCACTAGGCCACCTTCCCAGCCCACTGTGATTTTACTTTTTGAGTAAATTCACAAAAGGGTTTCACTGCAGCAAGTCAGATTATGAGTGCAGTGCATCTTGATCTTCCCCCTCGCCCCTACACACCCCTCCCTTCAGCCCTCTATAAGTAGAACTGGCAAGTTGAGGCTCCCTGACCCCAGACTGTAGGGCTCCACATAGAGAGGCCTGGCTGAGGCCTCCTGTCTCCTCCACAGGAGCCCTGGTGGACCAAGGCATCTTTGAAGAGCTCACCAGAGACCTCCTGCCCCGGCTGTCCGAGAAGATGCAGGATCTGGGGGTGATCTCCAGCATCTCGCTCTCCTGGTTCCTGACCCTCTTCCTCAGCGTCATGCCCTTCGAGAGCGCCGTGGTCATCGTCGACTGCTTCTTCTACGAGGGTATCAAGGTGATCCTGCAGGTGGCCTTGGCCGTGCTGGACGCCAACATGGAGCAGCTGCTGGGCTGCAGTGACGAGGGCGAGGCCATGACTGTGCTGGGCAGGTGACTGCTGGCCTTCTCACGCTGCAGGGGCTGCAGCAGAGCCCACCCCTCACCCGCCCTCCAGTGACCAGGCCCACCCAGCACCAGCCTGGAGCTGGGCCCAGAGACACACCACGGGCAGGAGAGGGCACCTGTGGTGGGAACCCTACGGCGGGCAGGGGCACCTGCCTCACCGGGCTGGAGCCGTTGCTTAGATGTGCGATCAGATCCAGTCAGTGTGGGCAGTGCTGGCCCTCTCTTACTCCGCCAAGCTGCCCTGCTTGTCTCCTGCCAGGCTGAGCACTGCTACTCCCCCCCCCCTCCCGCCAGTGGGTGTTAGCACCAGACTCGCCAGAGCAGCAAAGTGAGCCCATAACCAGCTGCTAGTGAGGAAGGCTTACGCTCACCCCAATCTCTGCCTCCTCCCTACAGCCCAGCTCTCATAGATTGCCCCTGAGCTCCAGCCTTTGCCTTCACCCCAGCTACTTCAACAGAGGCCTGGGGAGGCCTCTCCCTGGGCTCAGGCCTCCAATGGGAGAGGGACGGAGCTCAGCTTGCAGGGGCCCTGCCCTCCTGGACTCCCCAGGCCCCAGCACAGTCTCAGAGCTGCAGGCGAGATTCCTGGGTGGGTGGGGGGGGGTCTCGACTTCTGTCTGTAATCTTCACAGGTACCTGGATAATGTGGTGAACAAGCAGAGCATTTCTCCTCCTATTCCACACCTCCATGCCCTGTTGACCAGCGGAGACGACCCTCCTGCCCAAGTGGACATCTTTGACCTCCTCAAAGTGTCCTATGAGGTGGGCCTCTAGCCGTGTTTTGGCCAGGCCCCTTCCTCTGATGGCCACAAGAGGGCCCCGGGGGAGGGTCTCTGACCCGGGCCCTGGGCCTCACCCATTCATCTTTGGCCCACAGAAGTTCAGCAGCCTGAGGGCCGACGACATCGAGCAAATGCGGTTTAAGCAGAGGCTGAAAGTGATCCAGTCCTTGGAGGACACAGCCAAGAGGAGTGTGGTATGGGCCCAGGCGGAGCAAGGCGGGGTCTCAGGGCTGGCCCAGCGGGGCTGCTGTGTCTCCAGCCCCTTTCTGGACGGGCACAGATCCCCATGGGCTCCCTGTCCCTTGTGCTGTCTTGGCACCTGTGCCATGGCTAGGATGCCAGGAGGGACCAGAATCAGGAGTGGGGATTTGACTAGATCGGGCAGAGGCTGGCCACTTCCTTCTGCTCATGGCTGGTTGGTAGGAAGTGTCTTTCCCACCCCATTCCCAGCCCAGCCTCGCCATACATTCCCTACCTTGGGGAGTGTCATCAGTTTCTCTGCCACCGCACACCTCTACCAGAACCTCTGCGGGCCAGGCCACCCTCACCGCCACGTGCTGCGGGACCTGCTCACGGTCTCTGCCCCTACAAAGATGGGACAACTTGGTTTGCCTGTGTATTCCCACCCCCTCCAAGGGCGCAGCATTCACAGCTAATTGAAGTGAAGAGAGCCCTGACTGGCAGATTCTAGGACTCTTCCAGAAAGCCAGTACTGGGCCTGGCAGCTATCCAGATAGCAGATGCTAAATGATCAGCCATCCCCACCCTCATCCCTGACTGGGCCTTTAAGAGAGAGTCTCCCAAAGCTGCCTCTTCCAACTCCCCCCCCCCCCAGGAAGGGGCTCAGGGCGTGGGAGCTAATGCAGCCAGTGGTGAGGCTGCACCCACTCTTCTGAATGGGGCCAACCCATCTCCGGGGCATGGCCACCATGACATCGAGAAGCTCCTTGATGCCTTCCCCTTCCACTTGAGTCTTGCAGAGACTGCGCCTGTCTCTTCCGTAGCAGGAGCTGGGGGTCTGCCCGTGCAGCTGTGTCTCTCCCTTACAGGTCCGAGCCATACCCGGGGACATTGGTTTCTCAATTGAAGAGCTGGAGGACCTTTACATGGTGTTTAAGGTACAGCCGGGAGTGAGGGTGGGACCAGCACCCCATCCTAGTCCCCTGAACCCATTCTTACCCCCAATTTCCTTCCAAAGGAGAAATATACTTTAAAGCATGATCAGTTGTACCACATGTGGTACAGTTGAGTCTTAGAGTTTAGATGGAACTCTTTTGAGGTTGGACTCAGGCCCAACCAGCTACTGCTAGGTGGCTCCTAGCTACTCAGGAAGAAAAGTCTGTGAGACTCTGCCTCCGATTAACCAGCTCAAGTAGCAGATCCAACCAGGAACAAAAAAGCAAAGTGAACGCCAGGCGCCCGTGGCTCACACCTGTAATCCTAGCTACTCACAAGGCTGAGGTCTGAGGATGATGGTTCAAAGCTAGCCTGGGCAGGAAAGTCTGAAACTTCGTTGTTGTTGTTCTTGTTATTGTTGGTTGTGGGGCTTGAACTCTGGGCCTGGGCTCAAACTCCAGTGTGGGGACCCATGCATGTGTGCGCACACACAGAGTAAAGAGTAGAAAATCCACTCAAAGCCAGTCCCTAGTGGCTCATACCTGTATTTTTTTTTATTTTTAATTTTTTGTCAGTTGTAGGGCTTGAACTTGGCCTGGGTGCTCTCCCTTGAGAGTGATCAAGGCAAGCGCTCTACCACTTTGAGCCACAGCTCCACTTCTGGTTTTCTTGTGATTAATTGGAGATAAGAATCTCACGGACTTTTCTGCCTGTGCTAGTTTTGAACTATGAGCCCCAGACCTCAGCCTCCTGAGTAGCTAGAATTACAGGTGCGAGCCACCAGTGCCGGGCTCACACCTGTAATCTTAACAATCTTAACTACTGAGGAGGCTGAGATCTGAAGATTGAGGTTCTAAGCCAGCCTAAGCAAGAAAATCAAAGATTCTTATCTCCAATGAACCACTAAAAAGCTGGCAGTAAGGCTGGCCACCAGTGGCTAGAGCCCTAGCCTTGAGCACAAAAGCTTAGGAACAACACCGAGGCCCTGAGTTTAAGCCCCAGTACTGATACCACCAAAAAGAAAAGAAAGTCCATTCAAGTCAACTTACGCAGAAATGCATCCAGCGCTGAACTGAAAGGTGTAGGAATGCACCGCTTCCGGCCCAGCCCAAGAGGCCGTCTCACGGGCCTCTGTCCTCTGCAGGCCAAGCACCTGGCGAGCCAGTACTGGGGCAGTGGTCGCCCTGCCGCAGTCCGCCGGGACCCCAGCCTGCCCTACCTGGAGCAGTACAGGATCGACGCCAGCCAGTTTCGAGACCTCTTCGCCAGCCTGACGCCCTGGGCGTGCGGCTCCCACCTGCCCGTGCTGGCGGGCCGCATGTTCCGGCTCCTGGACCAAAACAAGGACTCGCTGATCAACTTCAAGGAGTTCGTGACAGGGATGAGTGAGTGCCTCTCCAGCCTGCCAGGAAGCTTTGCAGACGCTAGCCAGACGCCTGTCCTGCGGCAGCCAGCACAGGGGCCGCGAGCTCTTGGCCCGTGACGAGGAGAGAGCAGTTGACCCACGAGGGGCTGCCCTCCATCCCTCAGTCCAGGGCTGCTGCCCCCAGAGCAGGGTCCTGGGAAAGCAAGAGGCCTAAGGCTCATCAGGCAACCCAGCCGGGAAGCCTCCCACTGGAACCGGGGGGAGGGAGTGCTGGGTTTTGGAGCCTTCTTGCCAGCGCCCCTCCGCCCTGCCCTGCCCCACAGGCGGGATGTACCACGGGGACCTCACCGAGAAGCTCAAGGTGCTCTACAAGCTGCACCTGCCCCCAGGTGAGCCTTGGCCTCCACTCCAGGGTTGGAGGTTAGCATCTAGGGGGTGCGGAGGCTCAGGCCTCTGTAGGATGGTTGGGCCCTGAAGCAGCCACATGGAAGCCCCCTAGTCCAGTATGGAGGCGCAGGGAGCAAAGTCCCGGAGCCGAGCACTGGGCCGTGGCAGGGAAGGGATGTGGAGAGACAGAGCCGGCCACACCCCAGACGCCGGGGCCAGGAAGGAGAACACGAGTGGAGAGGCCTGTGGGAAACCGAGTCACCGCATTCATGAGTTTGATCTTACATTTCTCAAGGACTCCTGTTTGTCCCCAGAGTGTCAGCCTGGGGCAAACCAAAGCCACCTGAGCATCCTGTCACGCGGCCTCGAGGCACCAGTCCCTCAGGGGTGCTGCAGCCTACTGGCCACCGTGGACAAAAGATTTCCTGTTGAGCTGGTGGCTCACGCCTGTAACCCTAGCTACTCAGGAGGCTGAGCTCTGAGGATCGAGGTTCAAAGCCAGCCCGGGCAGGAAAGTCCATGAGACTTTTAGCTCCAATAAACCACTCAGAAAAAAAATTGGAGGTGGTGCTGTGGCTCAAGTGGTAGAGCGCTCGCCTTGAGCTGGAGAGCTGAGGGATAGTGCCCAGGCCCAGAGTTCAAGCCCAGGCCTGGGGAGGGGCAAGGCCCAGGGGGTGGGGAGGGGAAGGGGAGAAACACCACAGACCAGAGAGAAGCCCCTGCAGCCAGCTCCCACTGGGGGTGGCCAGTGCTCAGCCTTCTAGGTGAGGATGGCCACTTGCAGAATCCACTAAGGAAGGTTCTGCCATTTCCTCGGGAGGAAACAGACGCAGGCAGGCACAGAGCGTGTAACAGCCCTGAGGAGGCCGAGGCCAGAGGCTCTCTCTGAGCAGTCCAGCCCGGCCTGTTACCAGGCATCATCAACCGTGGCGCTGGGCCTGGTGGAGACTCCGGGTCTGCTCCGAGCAAGGGTCACGCTGCCTTCTGCGGCGCTCACCTTTCTGCCTCTTCAAACAGCTCTCAGCCCAGAGGAGGCCGAGTCAGCGCTGGAGGCCACACATTACTTCACGGAGGACAGCTCCTCAGAGGGTAAGCCACCCCTGCCACCGCACCCCCCCAGCTCCCCAGGGGGTCCCGTAGGTGGCCAGCCAGGTGCTTGGGCTCAGGGAGCATGCCTCAAAGGGGTGCTCCCCAGAAGGCCCCGTCCGCAGTTCCTGGGCCGACTTGGTCCCTGCGCGTGTTCTCAATTCCTGTTTCTCTGCGTCTCTGTCTCCTCGGACCTCGGCTTCTCTTCCCTCTGCCCTCTGCACCTCCTCTGCTGCCCCAGCGTCTCCTCTGGCCTCAGATCTGGATCTTTTCCTGCCCTGGGAGGTTCAAGGTCAGTCCCCGCTGGGTGGGTGCTCTCCTCCCAATCCTTGGAGGCCCAGAAACTATGTAGAAGGACCTTGCCACACAACTGACCAAAAAAAATCATAAAAAGGCTGGCTGGGTCCCAGTGACTCATGCCCTTCATCCTCACTACTCAGAAGACTGAGATCGGGAAGATCATGACTCAAAACCAGACCAGGAAAAGTCTTCTCGACTCCATTTCCAATTAATTAGCCAAAAAAAAAAAGCCAGGTTCAAGTGGTACAGTGCCAGCCAAGTAAGAAAGCTGGGTGACAGCAACAAGGCCCTGAATTCAATCCCTAGAACAGACAAAAGGAAAAACAGCTCCTTGGGAACCTCTGAGCCGGGGAGGGACGCTGTAGGCCCTGGGATCCGCCAGGCTAGCTCATCACTGTGATAAACCTACAAACGTGGGGCTGGGAAGTTGGCTCAGTGGTAGAGTGCTTGCATTGCATGCCTGAGGCCCTGGGTTCGATTCCTCAGCACCACATAAGCAAAAAGAAAAAAACCGGAAGTGGCGCTGTGGCTCAAGTGGTAGAGTGCTAGCCTTGAGCTGAAGAGCTGAGGGACAGCGCCCAGGCCCAGAGTTGAGATTGACTACAGAAATTTCACAGTATTGTGAGATAGTGATACTTAGTTAAAGTCACAAACACATTTTAATCTTCACAAGGCAAATTGTCGTTACCATGGTCTATAATATTTGTGAGTTCTATGAGCTTTGACAGTACAACCATTTCTTCCACATTGAGTGATATGTTTCTTTCCTTTTGCTTAGTGTTAGCTGTTCCCTCTTTCCCTCGCATTCCCTCCCTCCCTCTCTCCCTCCTTCCCTCCCGTCACTGCTTGCTTAGTTTTCATCAATGTCCAGTGCAGCTGATGGGCCCCTCTGTTGTATGTTTTCCCCTGTTTCCCTCCAGTTCTGTGCCCTCCTCCTGGCTTCCCTTAGGTGTGCATGTACCACATATGTGGTCAAGAACATGGAGTCAGAAATGATAGGCAAACTGAGTGGAGAGCCTCTGTTTCTTGAGTCCTGTTTACTTTGTCCTATTGTAAGAGCCTGTCTTAAAACGTTTTTTTTTTTTTTTTTAATAAAAAGTGCTGGCGGTGTGTCTCAGGTGGTAGAACCCCTGGAGGTGGTCTCAGCAAGCACAAAGTCCTGAGTCCAGCCCCAGTCCAGTTGTTTTGAAGCATTGTATTTTTTTGGGGGGGGGTCTGGTCATGAGACCTGAACTCTGGGCCTGGGCGCTGTCCCTGAGCTCTTCAGCTCAAGGCTAGTGCTCTACCACTTGAGCCACAACGCCACTTCTGGCTTTTTTCTTTTTGCTTATATGGTGCTAAGGAATCGAACCCAGAACCTCAGGCATGCAAGGCAAGCACTCTACCACTGAGCCACCTTCCCAGCCCAGCACTGTATTTTTTGTAATGGGAAGTGATTCAGGGCATCTTGTTCTGCTCTGTTTCTGTGTGTGAGCTTGTCCCCTGGCAGTGAGCTTTGCTTTGAAGAAATGACTAGCTCTCCCTTACCAGGGGCAGCGGCGCCGGGGGCCGGCGAGGTTTGTGGTGGGGGGATTTCCCCACTGGTTCTCTTGGTTTCTCTCATTGTCCAGAAGCACTATCACAGGAAGAGCAAGAAGGCTGTGCAAATGAGGACATCCAAGAAAAAAGAGGAGGTACGGGAGGGATCCCATGGTCACCCCTGGTTCATTGCAACCCCTCCCAGACGGTGGGGGAGCCCTCGGCCACCAGCACGTGCCCTTCCCTAGGCCCCCAATGCCAGGGCTGCGGCGGACCCTCCCAGAAACGACCCTCTCTTCCCTGTCAGAGAAGGGGACCAGCCCGCCCGACTACCGCCACTATCTGCGGATGTGGGCCAAGGAGAAGGAGGCTCAGAAGGAGACGATTAAGGATCTGCCTAAAATGAACCAGGTAGGCCGGGCCAGAGCCGGCGGGGACACCCCGGGGCCTCGGGGGCCGGGAGGGGACGGCGCCCCGCGAGCCTCCGCCCGTCCGCCTGCCCTCCGCCCAGGAGCAGTTCATCGAGCTGTGCAAGACCCTGTACAACATGTTCAGCGAGGACCCCGCCGAGCAGGAGCTGTACCACGCCATCGCCACGGTGGCCAGCCTCCTGCTCCGCATCGGCGAGGTGGGCAAGAGGTTCTCGGGCCCGGCCGGCCGGAAGCCCCCCCGGGAGGGGCCCCGCGGCCAGGGCC